TAACAATTATTTTTAATTTGAGAGACAATTTTTTTTTCAAATGTGAAAGTTTCCTTTATTTTTTATTTCTTAATTTCAACAGCCTTTTTATTTATATAATTATTTATTATAATTGATTTATATTATCATTATTTATTTTACAATTAAGTAACACATCTAAAATTCACATGGATATCTAAAAATATTTTATATTGTTTTAAATTGGATATCATTCAATAATGGTGCACACTATTAACTTTTCATCCCACGGGTCAGTATTATGATAATATTCGTTTTATTTTAATCAACAATTGTATTTAATTGAGAGGTGAATTCTTTATCTTCAAACATGCAAATTTTATTTCTTTTTAAGATTATTTTTTATTTTAAGTTTACACATGTATTTAAATATATTTTATACCGTATTAAATAAATTTACCGGTGCGGAAGCACAAGTATTTTGCTAGTTTATAGATAAGATGTTCAAAAACAAATAAAATAGTATAATAATATAATAAAGATAAATTTATGAGGTGAATGATATAAATTGAATACATTATTTTATTTTGATATCTTCACTTTTATAAATAAATTTTGACTTTTTAAATTACTTGAATATATATATATATATATATATATATATATATATATATATATATATATATATATATATATATATATATATATATATATATATATATATATATATATATATATATATATATATATATATATATATATATATATATATATATATATATATATATATATATATATATATATATATATATATATATATATATATATATATATATATATATATATATATATATATATATATATATATATATATATATATATATATATATATATAAAGAAAAATAAAGAAAACTGTTGAGTGTTTAAAACATAAAACATAATCTCAAAGTGAAAACATAATTATGTCATAATTATTAAAATTATTCATAATTTTTATGATTATCGTTCAATTTATAATGAAGTAATTCATTTGAAATTGACATGTGTATCTAAATATATTTCATAATATATTAAATTGGTTAACACTCAACAACGTTCACACGATTAACTTTCTATGTCATAGGCGACTTCCAGAACAACATATCTTTTATTTTAATTAACAATTATTTTTAATTTGAGAGACAAATTCTTTATTTTCAATTGTGAAAGTTTTCTTTCTTTTTTTTGTTTCTTAATTTCACAATCCTTTTTATTTATATAAATATTTATTATATTTGATTTATATGATCATTATTCATTTTACAATTAAGTAACGCATTTAATATTTACATGGATATCGAAAAATAATTAACAATTGTCAGTTAATTGAGAGGTGAATTTTTTATGTTCAAACATGCAAATTTTATTTTTTTTAAAATTATTTTTTATTTCAAGTTTACACATGTATTTAAATATATTTTATACGGTATTAAATAAATTTATCCGTGCGGACGCATAAGTATTTTGCTAAAAGAGTTACTGAAAGGAGCCTTTAGCAGCGCTTTTCCAATAAAAAAAAGCGCTGCTTTTACCTTTAGTAGCGCCACTTTTGACAGCACTTTTAAGCGCTGCTAAAGGTCTTTTTTGACATAGTGATAGATAAGATGTTCAAAAATAAATGAAATAGTATAATCATTTAATAAAGATAAATTTATGAGGTGAATCATATTAATTGAATACATTATTTTATTTTGATATCTTCACTTTTATAAAATAAATTTTGCCTTTTTAAATTAATTGAATAATATTATATATATATATATATATATATATATATATGTTGAGTTTTTAAAACACAAAACTTAATATCAAAATGAAAATATAATTATTTCATAATTATCAAAATTATTCATAATTTATATGATTATCGTTGAATTTATAATGAAGTAATTCATTTGAAATTAACATGTGTATCTAAATATATTTTATAATGTATTAAATCGAATAACACTCAATAACGTTGCACACGATTAACTTTCTATTTTCCAGGCCACTTCCAGAACAATATATATTTTGTTTTAATTAACAATTATTTTTAATTTGAGAGACAAATTCTTTATTTTCTGTTCTGGACTGGGCCCCGGAATGAACTATGTTGGCCCAGCCCAATAATGTTCCACCAGGCCCTGCCCGGTCCGAGCTACCACGTCGGGCACAAGATCTCCGACTCACTAGGATGATCTTCCCGCGGGGGAAAACCATCCCGTTCACGCCGGGCGAGTGAATCGTCCACACGACCACGCACCGCCCTCCGCGGGCGGTATTCTCCATGGCTCTTCCACGTCCACGTGTGCTCCCCTCCTCGGGGAGAACAACGTGCCCCCGGGGAACCTCGTGAGCTCCCCTCCGCAGGGAGAACAACGTGCCCTGTGCACGTTCTCCACGTGCTCCCCTCTGCGGGGACACGTCATCCACCAACTGCCCACCTCCGAAAGAGCAGGTCAACCCACTTTCCGGAGTTCACGGAGCAGTTCAACTAGGGCGAAGACCACATTCTGGTCTT